ACTTTAGTAAGCTATTCTCGCATTACGAAGCGTCTTCTAGGCACTGCTCTAGCAGACAATTTCTTCACACTTCTCAATTTTGAGCTTCTCTCATTCGAATCATCCAAAACAAACACTCAAATGGATTTTCCTTCACATCAAAATCATCCCCCGTGTTCAATTAACGCCTGCGTCAGTACCGTTCGTCAACTGCTGTTTCTCATTTTCGCCAAATGACCAATGCAACTCCCTTCCCCCCGCAAATACTGTTTTGATAATACAGATTATACCAGACTGGATCCTCAGTGTTTTGTTGAAGATGCATTAAACTGCTAACGCCTATCATGCGTCGTCCCAGGACTCGTTGAGTCAACGCCAATTTTTTACGAGCTTTCTGCTGTAACATTTACACAGAACGCATGATTGCTCCAACCACACTGGTGCGCGACGCTATTTATTCTCCATTAAGCAAGAATACGTCCTCAGGCAATGTTGAGTTACTGTTTGGAAAGACTTCACAAAGCTTGGCGAAGGTTATCCGCGCTGTTCGTTTTTTGACCAAACCACAATTACAACTCGCTATTTAAATGCATTGTTTGTCCCAAGCAGGTATAGCTGCTCAAAAATTCAACAAATTGGTTTTCCTATTTTATGTCGCATTAGAAGCAATACGTCTTCCACGGTCTTCCTTCTACATATCCGCAGACCGATTTTGATTGCATTGATTGTAAGTTCATTTAACATTTTTTGAAAAACTTGCGGCTTTTCGATGATAAGTACAATTTCATTTACGAAAACAAGCATTTTGAGGCACTTCATTGTCAATACAAAGTTGCTCTGCTATTTTGTTTCCCTAGGACGTTCATTTTATGTCTCGTCGATTCATATTTCATTCTTTAATTTTCGTCGAAAAGTATAATTTTTTGCGTTCAACTACGTTCAATTTGTGACACTTTTATGCATGTGGCCAGAGCACGGTGCACCAAGCACCATCTAAAAGAAAACGAAAACCGTGAACGAGCACTAAACGAAAATATTACATGAATGAGCAGTGAACGGAAATATTACCTGATAAGGCTGCGGGAAATAGCTCATTGCAATAAAATGCTGAAGATTGGTGAGATCTGAAATTAGCAACGAATGAAACTTACAGTGCAGTGAAGGCATACAGCGATTACTTTAACGCGCACATACAAAATTTATAATTGATCTGAGCCAGAACTGCAATGCCATTCACTACACGCCCAAGGATTATTGAGAAGATAGTGTGGATGATCAGCGCAGACATCCGTAAATAGTGACTGATGAGGTCCATCAATACATGCTGGCTACATCTATGTCAGATTCTTCGATCCTAGGCTGGTACTGGCCGTCTGTGTTATCGAATGCGTAAAACACATTCGAGTACATAAGTGGCAGCCTTTTCCGTTATCGAGTTCCAAAATCTTAGCGATAAGCGATGTCTGCTAGATGTCAGCGAAGCAGACAAAATGTCCCATCAGTCAAATTTTACTTCCTCCTGAGACTGTAATGAAACTTGTACGATTTCTATCTGACCGAGCATTTGAATGCATATGCTGTTACGAAAAGACATCCCAAACATTCTTCGCTCCACTGTTCTTTCACTGAGTTGGAATTTGAAACGGCGACCGCCTAATGCCAAGAGGAAGTCACGCAGACGTTTCTGGATTGAAGACAGTAATATGCTTTGGCTAAGAATTACCTGATGCTTTCTGGTAGAGGAGCACAAGCGACCGCCATTTGTAATGAATCACAATGGGTACTAAGATATCCGAAATGACTTTTGGTCCCGGGAACAAATCCACTGATCTGAAATGCACTCTTTCAAGTATGCAATAAGCATTTCGATAACAAACATAATTTTTATGTATAAAATAATGTGCCAATTTACTCGAATTCGAAAAATCAACCGAGGGTGAATTAAAACAGAAATTAGCAAAATTAAGTACAAAAATAAGCTGACGTTATGATAACCGCTAGCGCCAGCATTCTATTTCAAATATCTCGATTTTTATCTTTCACAATCCACACAAAGAGGCAGTGACAATCCCTCTGTAATGTTCTTCTTCGAACTACGTAAGAACTCATGCCGTACATATTTGTACACATTTACTGTGTCTCACTATTTTACTACAGTGAGTTATAAAAAGACAATTTGTACCGTCAGAAAGAATAATTCAAAAAGCCACCTTTCGATGACATAATCAAAAATCTGTTTTCTCGGCTCCAAATAGAAATGCGGTATTGTAAGGTTGGCAGCATAACTGGCTGCAATGATGTCGCCTGGAAAATTGCCTGGTCCGAACACTGCTATGGCGCGCTCCTTCAGTTGCTCGCATACTAAATAAAACACCATTAATGGGAGGAGTGTGCTCAGACAAATGACACATAAAATGCCTGAGGAAGCAGAATTTCAACGAGAATTTATTGCGAAACCAATCACTGGGAATTTCCAGATGACACCGCGTGAATGTCGCAATTTAACCGATTTATGAAAAGCACCCAAATTTTAGATTTATTGCCTTCATCGTCCTGAAGTTTCAGTACCAATCGGCTTCTGGGTAGCTAGTCACGAGTCAAACAACGAAATTCTAGTTTGCCCAGAGAGAATTATCAAATTAAATTGTATTTAGATCCCAAGGGATATGTGCTTCCAAATGGGCAGCCAAAATTTCTAAAACCTTGCTCGCAAGGGTTGTTTGGCATTGAGACCAATCTGGGGTTGAATTTACGGTTATCACACAGAAGTAGATGTCAGATGACTTAGATTCTTTGGATTTTAAAAAACCAAAGACTACACTCCCAAATTCCAGCTTCCTACATCATTTAGTTCTTGAATCGAACTGCTCAAGGCCATGAAAAAGTAGAGGCGTAATCTTACCTTAACACGATTTTAATTGCATAGACGCGAAGCATTTTCACAATATCAAAGAAAAGTTTCTCGTAAGTTTTTAACCATTAAGATGTTGTTGAAGAAATTTGATCATATTTCGTCCAACAAGATGAAAATGGACAGTGCAGACAATTGAACTTACTGGTCTGTGGTACGTAGATCGTCTTCTCAGGCATCACATATATCACGTTGCTAGAAGGGAAACCATTGTGCGAAGCGATTGCCCGGAATCTGTCGCGCTCATTTTCGGCCAGAAACACTGCTGAAAACCAGTTTACAGCTAAGGGATGAAACAAAGACTGCATAAGAGATGAATATATCTTCATGCACATGACACTTAGACTAATCCATTATCTCTTATTATATTACTCCACACGACTAAAATAAGCGCTAATAAAAACTTTGCATCCGAGACCTTAATGTGTGCTTGTTTCGCAGTCAGCCACCGTTGCTTTTACGTCTGCTCAACACAATCAATTTACCATGCTTTTAGTTGTTAACTAAATTCTGCAAAATTATGCAGCAAAATTATGCAGCGTTGAGGTATAAAATCACCACTGTACTAATACAATTTCGACTGCGCCAGAGGGCCAACTGTTACATGGAGTTATAAATTCTGTGATGAAAAACCTTCTGGTTGTCGATGAAAAAATGAGTTTGTAGACTGGGAGGACTGAGGAAGAGACAAATGAAACATTAATTCACCAAAAAGAGAAATGACTGAGAAAGACAAATTGCTCGATTTTGAAACATCTGTAAACATTTTAACTAAGCAGGCATCCTCCACAGCCCTTTTATTTGTGATGTTGCAATATGCTGCGATGCCAGTAAGGTATTCGAAAATAAATCATTTGCCGGAAAAAAAGAGCCATTTTTTTAAAAAAACAATTGAAGAATAAACCTTTTTCGATTTCACAAACAAAATCAGCCGAAGAAAACAAGAATGCGTCGAAGTGAGAAAATAAAACAACTAAAATGTCAAAATTTCTTGATATTTGAACTTAGAGATTAGCCCGGACGGTAATACATCAAGAAAATCCACTCATTTCCACGGTTCCTTCCCTTAAGGATCACAGGGAAGATGCAGGCTGGTGTGCTCCCTTTATATGTATCACTTTGAGTTTGCCACTGAGACAAAGGTACGGAATGCAGACCAATTTTTAGCAAAAAAAACACTAACACTAACTTAACACAGTTCTCCTGGAACAGCAGTAATAACTTCCCTCACAGTCCCTTACTAATGAACTTCTTGGCCACTTCATCATTATTCTGCATGGATCTGAGCGATGGCACTTTCGTGCAGAGGTATGTCTGTGTTTACAGCTGAGGGATAAATCTAGGACTTCTTTCTCGCATGCCTGTTTAAGATATATAACTTGTAATTCCTATGTTTGCGATAATAATACTTTGGTGTAAAAAATGACCAACCAAGTCGTTGCGGTGAAGCAAAATTTGAGTTGAAGATGAATAAGATGTAGTAGACAAGGAGTAAGCTGCGGAGCATGTTGCGGGCAGAAGAAGAAGCACTGTGCACTGGCGGCTTAATTG